GTAAAATCCCCCTGGTTAGAGACCTTGCACCATGGGACCGAGCGAGCCACCTATGTCACCCTGAATGTATCCACAGTCGGCCAGCATGGCCGGCTGGGGAATTCGGGGTGGAAGTCCGCCCTTCTCAAAGAATGCTGGCTAGGAGATTTTTGAAATTGAAGTCCATCCCTCTTAAAGCATGTCTGGCTGGGGGATTCTGGGAGTTGGAGTCCTCCCCTCTTAAAGCATGGCTGCCTGGGGGATTCTGGGAGTTGGAGTCCATCCCTTTTAAGCATGGCCAGCTGGGAAAAGGCTGTTCTTGGAAACTGGGAACAAGGCGACCTTGGTGAGATGTTGGACAGCTGGGCTCCGATTTCAGGTCCCCGTGACGTTCGACGAGGAGCAAGCGGTGAATTTTTCCACGCCCGAATGGGCCAAACTGGAGGACTGGCAGAAGGAACTTTACCGGAACATCACGAGAGGAAGCTACGAGCCGCTGGTCTCTCTTGGTAAGAGCCGGTTTTGCCTGGAGGGTAATTCGTATCCTTGCTTTAGACCAGCGAGCTGCAGCCTACGACGCGGGACCAAACCATTTGCCACCAGGCCGTAGAAGTGGAACCATCCCCTCTTTCCTAATAATTAATCCCATAGGACCCCACTGTCTGTTTCCCCCTCCTCCTCCATCACCTCTTGTTCCTCCCTCCCTCCCTCCCTGGTAGCACTGATGTTGTTACCTAGCTGAGTCATGAGATGTTTGCAAGGAAACCATCCAACTCAGAGAGCACCAAGGATGCCACAATCCTCTTCCTCTTCTTCTTTCTCCTCCTCCTTTCAAACCGTCCTCCCTGCTAGCACTTGAGGATGCTCCCTAGTTGAATCATGAAATGTCTGCAAGGAAAACATCCAACTCAGAGAGCAGCAAGGACGCCACAATCCTTTTCTTCTTTTCTTTTCCTTTCTTTTCTTTCCTTCTTTCCTTCCTTCTTTTCTTCTTTTTCCTTCTCCTTCCTCCTCCTCCTTTCAGAATCAGAATTCTTTATTGGCCAAGTGTGATTGGACACACAAGGGATTTGTCTTTGGTGCAAATGCTCTCAGTGTCCATAAAAGAAAAGATGCATTCGTCAGAGAGTCAATAATAATAGTCACAGGGTACAATAAGCAATCAAATCATGCTAGGAAACAGTCAATATAGATCATAAAGATACAAGCGACCAAGTTAAAGTCCTACAGTCACAAGGGGAGGGACGATAAGGAGTGACGAGAAGATTAATATTAATAGTAGTGCAGACTTTGTAAATAGTTGGACAGTGTTGAGGGAATTATTTGATTAGCAGAGTGATGGCATTGGGGATAAAAACTGTTCTTGTGTCTAGTTGTTCTGGTGTGCAATGGTCTATATAGCATCGTTTTGAGGGAAGGAGTTGAAACAGTTTATGTCCGGGATGTGAGGGGTCTGTAAATATTTTCACAGCCCTCTTTTTGACTCAGGGTCCTCAATTTCAAACTTTCCTCCCTTCTAGCACTGATAATGCTCCCTATTTGGGTCATGAGATGAAACAGATAACCGATAATCAGAGTTGGAAGGGGCCTTGTAGGTCATCTAGTCCAACCCTCTGCCCAAGCAGGAGACCCTACACCATTTCTGACAGATGGGAGTCCAGCCTCTTCTTGAAATCTCTTGTCTGCAATGAAACCACTGAACTCAGAGAGCACCAAGGACCCCACTGTTTGTCGTCATCGTCCCTCCTCCCTATGAACCTCCCATCCTTTCTAGCACTGATGTTGTTCCCTAGTCGGGTCACAAGACGTCTGCAAAAAACAAAAACAAAATACAGCCAGCTCAGAGAGCAGCAAAGACACACACACACACACACCCCGCAGTTCAACCTGGAGCTACAAAGATTCTGTTCTGACCTAGGCTTCCCAAAAGCACGAAGCAGACCTGATAAAACCCCTTTTATTTAGGTTAAAGGGAATTCCTCTCCAGCAAAGTCCCAGCCAACCGTCTTTCGAGAGATCTCACAACTACAGGCCTTTATCAGGCTTGGAGGGTTGTCAGGCCGATAGCTTCCAAATGCCACACTGTAGCAGCAATTGCTTGAGAAGAAGTCAGGAACAGATCTTCACCCGAATGACTTGAACTACTTGTCCCCTGCCAACCCCACTTCCCTTTCGCTCCTCTTTATTCCCTCTGGGAGGGGCCATTCACCATCCACCTGTGCCCTTACTCCTGAGTTGACCCTTGTTCCTTAACTGTTCCCTTCTCCTGGCAGCTCTGCGCATGTGCACATTGGGAACAGGCTCCGGCTGTTCTTCTTCCCCACTTATCTCTGACTCAGAAGGCAGCTGATAACTGTCAGACGGCCCTGACCCCATATCTGCCCCAACAGCAGAGCCCTCCCCAGACTCCAGGACTGGCCCATGTTCCTCCACCACCTCCTCACTGTCCGAGTCTGCCGACAGCTCCGACAGCTGCTGGTGGGCCGCAAGAGATTCCTTTCCATCGGCTTAAACCTCTCTTCTTTCTTTTTCATTCTCCAGACTCTGCCATCGCCAAGGCTGATGTCCTTGCACCCCAGGTGGGTCCGGGGTCAGTGCCCCACGTTGTGGATCAGCCCTCGGCGGGGGGAAAGGGACTCCCCCCGGCACCCAAACTAGGTGCGTGAAACGATCGAACGGGGCGGCTTTCACTTTGCAAATTTTTCCTCCCGGTTCCAGTGGGTTTGAAATCATGGTTCCTTTTCTTTTTTTTTTTTTAACCCATCTCTGATCATTCTTCGAAGCCCACCCACCCACCCCTAATTCCTGGGGATAAAAGGGGATCCTTCCTTGGGAGCAAGGGAAGTAAAAATCAGAGTGTCTAAAAAAGGGCTGAAGGGACCTTGGAGGTCTTCTAATCTCACCCCCTTTCCAAGATTTGGTGGGAGGGGGCTGGGTTAGTCTCCAAGAGCAGAGCTTTCCCCCCTCCCTCCCCACTTCAGGCCAACAATGGGGTACCTTGCAAGCATCGGGGGTCCTCAGGCTCCCCCAGAGGCGGGCTAGGAGTTGGTCCATCTTCTGAAGCATTCTTGACGGCCTCAAAAAGATGAGCTACTTACGGCCTGTCTCTGTAAATATAGACCCCCCACCTGCAGACGTTTCATGACCCAGCTAGGTAACCTCCTCAGTGCTGGGTGTGAGGTTCACAGGAAGAGAAGGACGACTGTGGGGTCCTTGGTGTTCTGTGAGCCTAGTAGTTTCCTTGCCTTAGACGTCTCATGACCCAGCTAGGTAACATCACTGCTAGGAGAGTTTTCCCTTCCCCAACTTTCCTGGGCATGTCATGATTCGCACTCATTGCCATGGTTTGCCTCTAGGTTGCCTCTTGATGTCTGGCAGCATTTGGAAACTGGTGCTTTCTGAGCTGCAGACGTTTCGTCACCCAGCTAGGTAACATCATCAGTGCCGGAAGGGAATAGGGTTTGCAAAGAACAGGAGGAGAAGAAAGGGGGAAAGGCTGTGGGGTCCGTGGTGCCCTCTGAGCTGGGTGGTTTCCTTGCAGATGTTTCATGAGCCAACTAGGGAACATAATCAGTGCTAGGAGGGAAGATTAGAAACCATATCCTGTTCCTTTCCAGCACTGCTGTTACCTAGTTGGGTCATGAAACGTCTGCAAGAAAACCACCCAGCTCAGAGAGC